TTGGAAAAGTTTTTTCTTTCTTACCTCTCTTTCCTTTCTTTGTCCAAGTTTCCCGCATTCCTAAAAAATTTCCTCTTCATCTGTCTGAATCTTGCCTCCCACCAAAATGGTCTCAACTGTTCTCATTTCACCTGCACATCTGCCCATCAAATTTCACGAATTTTGACCATGCTTTCTACATTTTTCCACTCTCCTGGATGATTTAGTGCCTCACCAGAACAGTGCTCTTCTGGATGTGCCTTGGAACAGCATTCGGAAAAATCATGATTTTTCTGAAATTTATTTAGGTAATGCGACGCCAAAGTGGCAAAAATTTGATGAGTTTGTTATGCCCAGTCTCCTGAGAATGTGTAAACTCGAAATCAGCTTTGTCATTCCTTGCTGAAGTAAAATTTCGATCCAGCTTAGCAAACAATCACTTTATAGTTTTGATCTTCCACCCTACTCCAGACAGAAATTCTGAGGCCGAGTTTCTATCACACTTGTGCTCCGGGGTGCACTTCAGAAATCCTGCTCGACTAGCTGCGGACAAATAAACAAAGCAAGCTATTAGAAGTGAAGAGCTTGAAGATTAATTCATTCCAAGACTGATCAGGACTGAAGTACAAATTTATTCCTATCATTTCGGGAAGGGCAAATTTTAAGCGCTAACCCCATTAGCAAGTAAGCCGGAAAAATACGTTTTTTATTGGCCTTTAATTCAAAATTACTGGAGGACTTGACGTATTGGTAAGCAAAACAACTGACAAGTCGAAATCGGTGGTATCTTTACACTAACGGAAAAGCTAACCGCTTCATGATTCATTGGTAAATTGGTACTGGTAAATGTAAGGAAATTAGAACCTCCGTCAGCGTCGTTGTTAGCAATCCTCAAAAGAGGGCACCACCGACAATCATGTCAGTATTTGAATAGCTGACAATGAGCAACTAATTAGGCGGTTTCGAGTGCCCCCGTCTCAAACAGAAAGTGAAATTTGGTTTGTGCTTTGAATCTTTAATTCAAATGTAGTAAGCGCATAGGGAAGGCAATGCTTTCTTGCTTTCACTTGCTGAAATTGGAAAGTATTTGTAAATCGTTTTCAACCGCAAAACCTAGCTAACTTCACAGTTTGAGTTTTTGAAATTTAACCCCTGGCCTAGTAATGGCTAAAACTTTAAAAATAGTCATCTTAATTCATTAAGGGCTCAATTTTTGTATACACATTTTTACAACAGAACAAATACGCGCATATACTTCGAATCTGCACTTACAATACATATGTAAAATTTGCATCATGATCCTGGTAAATCAAATGAATTTGTATATATAGTTCAAATACGGATTCGCAAAGTATGTAACCGAGAAGACTAAATTTGGCGAGATGAAATATGATAACGAAACAGTGGCTGGTAATAGAAACAACGGATGTAAATTCGATCCCTTGTGGATAAAATTGAGCAAAAAATGCGTGCTCCCAGCAATCACCTCCTGGTACGCATCGTTATTATATTATGAACAATTTTTGGTCATTAAGGTGTCAGCCGATTAAGTAAAATAGTACATTTTTAAGTATATAAACCGGAGCCGGGCTTATTCTAAAACAGAGCCGAATATATTCATAAATGTCTTCATGTGCATCACGATGAATAGTCTTATCAAGCTAACTTAATTCTTCACTGGAAGGTTTATTTTTGGTTTTTCATTTTGGTTTCTTTAACAAG